TTAGTGCCTTGTTTGGCAATCTTACTTCCATAGATTGATTGAAAGTATGAAGACCAAGATGGTGTGGTCCACTGTCCGACTGGAAATAATTATGCATAAAATGGACTCCGGACAAGGTGCATTCCTATAAGTCTTCCTACCAATATGACCAAGTTGCGAAAACAAGGTCAAACAACTACTATAATCTTTTAATTTTTATCCTCTAAGGCTCCATTGGTATTTGAATACATATTTTATTATTTCTAGTAGTCGTTCCTCTAAATCTTGCTGCTAATATGACCAATTTGCGAAAACAAGGTTGAACAACTACTTGCTCTTAAGCCATTTAAAAAGTTAGCTACCCAAGTAAAATGCACATAACTTGCTGTTATTGTCTATATAATTAGTGTATTTTGTGTATTTTGTGTATTTTTGCGGATCATTCATATACAATGAACCTTTATATTCTATTGCTGTGTATTAAGCCGGCGGGGCTCCCTCCTATCAGCTGCTACCAGTCGGATGCGCCACAGGACAGAATTTCACCAGTCTTCTGCTCTCCGACCAGTCACAGAAGACCGTCGCCGCGGCTGGTCTCAACGTCGGTTTGCACGGGCAACAGCAGCACCTTGTCATGCAATCACAGCACGCTCTTCAACAGCAGCAGCAGCAACAACAACAACAGCAACAGCAGCAGCAACAACAACAACAGCAGCAACAACAACAACAGGCACAATCAGGACAGTCGCAGCAGATGCAAGCCAACGGACAAGCCGGAACACTCACACACTACTTGTCGGCGCCGGCGGCCACCGTCAGTCCTTCCGGCCAGTCGGGTGTAGCCAACGCGGCAACCTTCTTTCAATCTGCCCCCGGCGGGGCTGCCCAATACGCTTCGGCTGGCCTCGCGCGGGGTCTAACCTTACAACAACAACAACAACAACAGCAACAACAACAACAGCAGCAACAACAACAGCACGCACAGCAGCAACAGCAACAACAACAAGAAGCCGCTTTCCACGCTCAGGGTCAGGCTCAGGCCAATGCGGCCGGCGCGACCACGCAGTATATAACACTGGCCAACGGACAACAGCTAAAAGTGATGACTCTTGGCCCTGCCAACGGTCAGCAGCAAGCTCAGCAACAGCAGCTGGTGCAACCAGTTACGCCCGGCCAGGTTGCAGGCGCTCCCGGACAAATCACGATCACCGCTGCTTCAAGTGGTCACGCAGCACAGGCCATGGCGACTGTTCCCGGTGCTGCGGTCGGCATGGCGACTATGGCGCCCGGACAGCAGCAGGTCGGTCTCCGCTGAATGATTCTTTTGTAAGACCCTGTCCTTAAGTTGGTAGTGAGATTACTAAGCAAGATCTCAATCATTCCCACCAACGGCCGTATTATCATTATAAATATTGCCGAGGTGGTATGAGTGCATATATTTAATCCCCCTTTATCCTACAAAATAATTGAGGATACTTCGAAAATGGACTATTCGATTGTAATGGAGATGTGGCCAACTGCTTTAGTACATAGGTTTGTTGGTTCTTTTTCGCTTCAAGTGCACAAACAATGGGTACGCAAGCTACACGCTGCACACAATGCGAAAATGGATTAGAATAAAAAAAGTAGCTATGGCGTAATTTATATTTAAAATCCTTACAGTTGTCTCAATTTAGCTTAAGTTATGCTACGGTCAGCGTCAATCAGCGATCGCCTTCATTTAAGTCCATATAAGTTCTTGATCCTCATGGCTTTATGAAAGTCTCTTCTGGCTAAAGAATAAATATTTGTTTTCCATTCTACTGTATTATAACTTACATATTTTAGGTAGGCGTTATGCTAAAGGCAAGAAAGACTGATTTATTTACGATCAAGTGATGTGGAAAGTATTGACTTTTTAGTACTGAATTGTAATGTGTGCATCGTGTCTGCTTGTAGTTGATCTTTCATCTTTCCTTTATGCAAAACGAAACCCTTCAGACTTTGCATCTAATTTGGCCCAACGACTCGATATTCCAATTTGCGTTATCGTTATTAATGTCTCCATTGCCTCTGAAATCCATCTGCTTATTCTTGTCTTCCTTGACTTCTCTTTTTTTACTTTATTTTTTTACTGAATTGGTCTGACTTCGTTTTCGCAACATGTTCGTGTCGTCAAGGCGACCTAGTTTTGTGCGCCTTGTCCTGAGTCCTCTGTTAAGGCAGCTATACTTCCGCGTATCGGGCTGTGATCTTGGTACATTCTCAGCACCAAGATACAACTCATCAAAGAGACTATTGAAGTCGGTATTTTGACCAGTTGACTGCTGAACAGTTGTGGTATCTTCTTCTCTCCATGTATCCTCACCTATCCTCGATTTTCGTATGCATCTTTCGCTATCACGATTTATTACTTGCCTATTTTACCTACCCTATTCAGATAATTGGTCAAATGATCCACTTCATTTGTCCCTTCGACTAGTAGTAGCTTGGTGTTAAGCATGGCAAGACTCAGTGACGATGCCGACGAAACGTCGGCGAGGTCTGACCACTTTTGTACATCGAAAAAGACTGCGACAAAAAAAAAGCCCATAACATCTTGGTCTTTATATCTACGATATTTTTTTCGAATATATGCAGACAAAGATGTTCTGGCCTCTGGTATGTTCGCAGTTTCCTTTT